CCACTAAGTGTGCATAATTCTCTAAACCATCTTGATAACTCTGGGTCAGGCTTTGGTTGTGGTCACTCCAACCTTGCTTATTATGATAATTGAATGGGTCTACCTATCTTGAGATGGTTAAGTACTACTAGCTGGCTTCAGTGATTTTAGAGCCCAGATCTGCCATTGTCAGCCCTGGCCTTCTCAGGGATGCTGCCTCCACTACTTTGGCAATGACATATCCTTTAACCACCCCCATGAAATATAGAAATCTTGTGAAATTTCCAGAATTACATCCTCTTTAACAACCCAATTTTTTAAACTTGTTATTCCTTCTTTCACTGTCTGCTATGGAAATTCTGGCATTTTTAACCCCACTTGGTGTGGATCATAGCCTTTTCCATGCTTCTGGGAACGAAAGGAGAATATTCATAGTATCTCTCAGGTGCTTGTAGGTCATTACATTATCTATCCTGGGAGAAGATTCTCATAAGTTCTCTTCATCCAAATTTAGGTTCAGCCATCTGTTGATATCAACCTTCAAATACAATCTCACATGCACTTTCCAGCTCCTGCCAGTCCATGTTGTTTAGGTCCTACAGTTCCTTCAGGGCATATAGTCCCTTTCCACCCCTAGAAGGTTTTGCACATCACAGCCTTGACTCTAGTTATTGCCTTAGTGTCCTGGGAGGGGCAGGTCCCAAGGGGCCATAGGTTGTCTTGCAATAGATGAGCCTCTGGATGCTCTTCAGACAAAGGGGAAATGCTAGATTTTCATTTCTGCAAGCTGAGAGGGCTCTGGGATGCAAGATTTACAGATATATTCAACTCAGATGTTTCCATCCTTATTCAGGACCCCATTCTCTTCTAATCAGGACTATAGTTAGCATGGTGGACCAGCCCTTTTTAGAGTTTAACCTATAAAACTCAATCTCTTTATGATTAAGTACTGGAGCTGGACTTTGGCTTTCTCTGCCCTTCCACTGAAAGAAATGAGAACCTATTTATATGCTACCAAAGAAGTCCTCTGGCTTTCACACTTTGTTTTTATTGCCAATTAATCACTCTCAATTTTCATTGTTCTTTTCCAGAGTGCAATTTTATCAATAGCTACAAAACTCTACTGTGTTCATCCTTACTATTTCTCAAATCGCTGATACACCAACCAATAGTGCAATTCCCTTTCATAGATATACCAATCCCACTTTACTACTAGTGAACATTTAAATAATTGAATTTTTAGTAGGGAGTTCTTCTGTTTTCCATGTACCAATAGTTACACATTTTAACTAGACAGTTGAGCCAGCTCTAAAATCCCATCTTATCACCCTTTTTCTTGAATCTGGCACTCAAATTGCACTCCGAGTCTTCTGGAATGTAGATTTTTAATTTGAAGATTAGTGTGTAGGATGTTTATTAGGGAAAGGTTTTGGGATCAACACCAATGAAAGGGAATAGAAGGAAACAGGATTGGCCCAAGGAGAGGTTGAACTGTGATTTAGTCCCAACAATGAAGACATTATCTAACCTCAAGGGGAGTTCTAGAGTTTGGATGGCCATTAGCGTTGTTCTAAATTGAGGGCAGGGGTCAGTCATTTATACCACTGTATTAATTAGTCATTGCATGTGGGCTATCCCTGGAAAGAGGTATTACCTTGAGTGAGGTGTGATTTCACCTGAGATGGTTCCCAAGGAAGATTAGTGGCTAAGGGTCATCTTCTCTCAGCCCTTCCAGCAGCTGGGGTAAGTGCTCCAGTCTTAGAGAAAGTTTCTGGACAGGACCGCAAAACATATGTGCTATACAAAAATTAACAATTTTAAGAATTTTTAAAAACAAACTTTAATAAAATAATGTGATTACGTGGCACTTTACTATTTATGAGGTATTTTGGAAAAGTATATTTTTCTCACAACTACTCTGTGAAGTTGTCAGGTTGAGTATTGTTTTCTTTAATTTACAGATTTTAGAAACCCTGAAGCCCTAGGAATTTAAATTAATTCTTCATATTAACAAAACTAACACTCACTTGATCGTTGATGTTTTCACAAATGTTAAACATTTCATATTTGTATAATTATCAAGTGATTTTTTTTAAAACCCATACAATCTGACTTTAAGGCAAGAGTGTTTTCTACTCTCTCAGAGAGGATTTTTATAAGATAAATAAAATGAGGTTCAATAATAAGAATAAATCATCAAGAATTTTCTCTAGAATATATGAGTGAATTTTTAAAACTTTTCATTACAGTGTTAATCTTTTACATCAAGGAATAATTATAAGAATTGGCTGAGACCAGTTTGGCTCAGTGGATAGAGCGTCGGCCTGCAGACTGAAGGGTCTCGGGTTCGATTCTGGTCAAGGGCATGTACCTTGGTTGCGGGCACATCCCCAGTTAATTGCACTTCCCCAGAGGAGGGGGTGGGGCCCGTGGGGGGAGATGGGGGAGCCCAGGGTAGGGGCAGCAGAGGGAATCTCCTTGTCAGGTGGTCATAATAATGTGGCCACTCAGTGTGGAGATATATATATATATATATATATTGAGAGAGAGAGAGAGAGAGAGAGAGAGAGAGAGAGAGAGAGAGAGAGAGAGAGGCTGGTAATCATTTACCATTTTCTGGCTATTCTTGGTCAATTGCTGCAGAGATTGTGGGTCAGAATTCCAATGTCATATGTAGTCTCATCATTGTCTGTATCTTAGTATCTCAGTGTCTTCATCTTTGTTTTATAATTATCTCTCTTACAGAAAGTTGACCAATTTAAGGAAGAGTAGATAACTTCATTGTCTGGGGATTGCTTAGTTATTTCCATAGTCAATAGTGTCACAGAACCTTCTTGACTTTTTCTGTGTTGTATTATCATTTAAGAAGCACTTAAGACTCTGGATAAAATTCAATAAACCAGCAGTGTGATCACCATGAGAAAAACAGTAATAATGAATAGACTCTGTAGGCTGATTCAGAACCAAGAGTATTGGTTGCTTAACTGAGGTCAAGATAATAAATTCTATATGCTATGAAGTTCAGCCTTAGCAAGCCACATAGATTTTTTTTAAGCCTGTTCTACCTTTCTTGTACTTATTTCATTGATCCAGCTTACTGTGACCTTCACAGCAGGGTTCAGGACCTGAAGGAGGAGCTAATGCACAAATGAAAATGCTATAGAAGAAATATGAATTTAGATGACATTGGGGACTAGGTGAAGACTCTTGAAGAGACACATCCCAATTTTTGGCCTGGTCTGCCTTTTATTTACTTGAATACACTGTTTAGCAATGCGTACAGACACATCAAAGGTAATGTTTGGTAAACAATAAGAGGATTATCAGGTAAGGGAATTGCCTTGAGCCACCACTGTCTCAACACTTGGTGCTTAGCATCAGGTCTACTAATGCCTAAGGTCCATCTGCCTTCCACATTCTTTGGTGCACTGACAGTATTGGCAAGCGATGGCTTCCTGCACAAGTATATAAAAAAGTATTAGCAAAATCACAGCTGCCCCTAGAACTAGCAAACAAGAAACATCAATAGAAGTGTGCATCACTCATGACAACAAGTTGTAACTGACCTGTTTTCCATGTAAGGCAGAGGTGACATTGCTAATAACTTCAGACAGACTAAGTTTCATATAATCTTTTCTGTCTGATTCCCACCATGGTGAATACTGCTCTAACTTTTTGCATAAATAGTGAGTCAGTAATTCTCCTAGCTAGAACCTTTGAATAATTACGGATACCCTCCTTTAGGAACTCACATCTGACTTATGCAATTATACTCATTATATATAGAATCATAATAATAAAATATCTTCTTGGTGATTTATGACAATTTACTTATTTACCTATTCCTAAAGTAAATCAGATGTTGGTGTGATACAAACAGAACTAGTGTATTAGCCACAAAGGAGTTAGTATCTGTAGTGTCATGGCCACAAAGGAGGTAGCACATGGAGATCCAGGGAAAAAGTCATTTATGACACAAAGTTGAAATCAAGGCATTACATTATCTGGGTTATATATTTAGACCTCCATTAATCTTTTCCAGATAGGTGACAAGTATCTGGCCCTTTGCCCTTCAAAAGTTGTTGAGTTAAATTTTAGAATTACTTAGGATCTGACCAGTAGATTATAATATATGGTTCTTTTTATGAAAAGAAGGACACTAGCAAAGTCACCGGTTTATGATTTTTTTTAAGGTCACCTGTTTTTGTAGGCACAAGTGGAAACATCACCAGCTGTAATCCCTATGGTTTAATTTGATGAGACAAAATTGCCCAGAGGTTTTGATTATGAGGGTCTGGTAGTGGTAGATGGCAAATTTATCCATCAGTTAGACTGAGGACAGTGGGCTGTATTTGGGATAGTCTAAGAGAGGCTTTAGAGTATGTTCTAATAATTATTATTAGGAAGAAAGAAAAGAGATAAAAGGATTTTGGCTTAAAACCCCAGGCAAAAGGGATGGTCTTTGGGGTAGAGCCCCATGGGATCTATCACCTGCATGAGTGCCTTTCAATATCAATCCGAAGAGTAAGCAATGTCAATGTCAGAAACTTCTAAAATTTTGGGATAAATAGAAGTGACTACTTTCAGATTAAATTGCTCCTACAGGTTCATGAGGTAGACAGGATGTTATAGGACATTAGTCTAATTCCTTTGTTTTTCACATACACCTGCACACGTACACACTTGCATATATATATATATATATATATATATATATATATATATACCCCTTACCATACACACAAATACATGCACATACACAAGAGAGAGAATTTAATAGATGTTAATGTTACGCCCAGACTTCGTGATCCCCAAGGACCACCAGGGAGCCAAGTCCGATGCAATAAACAAAAGAGCCTTCACCATGCTAGCATGTGCTCCTCCCACCCACGCCGGCAGCATGGCAGAAGAGAGCAAACTTCTCCCAGTCCAGGGGTTTTGGGGGCTAGGGATAACTCCGCCCAACGGGGCGGAGATGGGAGCTCATCCTCGCCCCGCCCTGCCCTCTCAGTTAACCTTACCTCAAAAATAGTGATGATCTCTAAAAATGAAGTAAATTGGTGTCTCTGGTATGTGAGAGGGCATGTTAAGAAGTTGGAAGTGAGCCAGGGAAGGTTAGCAAAGAAATTGTATGTTAATTTCAAATTAGCATTTACATCAGTTTCAGGCTTCAAAGGGCAAGAAGTAGTGAGAGAAGGAAAATTATTCATCCTAATTGAAAAAGGATTGTGCTGAGAGATTCACACTAGAGAGTCTCTTGGGATTGTTATAATCTGTCCCTGTATTTAGCTGAGCTGTATGAGCAAAAAAACCATTTCCCCTGGGCCAAACCTGAGAAGTTTCCTAGCACTTCAAAACAAGCGATGGTCAAAGCCATCAAGAGATTTTGGGTTTTAATGCTGATTCAAAAAGAACCCCAAGGTAGTTTCAATACCTTGCACAGCCGAGAGCTATTTCAAGGTGTTGGAGCTATAGCGATAACTACAAAAATCTAAAAACATATGGAGCGTAGGAGAAGAAAAATAATTTTCCCCCTACCTTTCTGAGTTCTTGGCTGAGTCTCCTATAATAAAAGAGATTAACAAGAGAAAAACAAACAGAAGTTTATTATACGTAGATCCCATGCACACATGAGTGATACCAAGAGAAAAAACTGAGTAACAAAGTGATGGCTTAAAACTTCAATTTGCATATTGTTAGAAAAAAGAACAATAAATTTGTAGAGAAATGACAGGACAGACAGAAAGCAGTTTCTAGCTTCTCAGGCTGGCAAACTGTGGGAAGGTAAATATATGGGAGGAAGGTAATAGACCAAGGCTAGTGAGTGAAGTTTGTTATGCATACCTCCTTGGTGCCCTCTCCAGCCAGGCAGGATCTAAAATTGTTTCTGGTGATTAACATTTGTCCTTCCCAGTAGAGAGAAGAGGGATACATTTATGTCATGCAAAACTGATTATGTCATGAAAACAAGGGCAGGGGAAGGGCAGGGAACTTTTGTTTTAGCTTTTCCTTCTCAATTGCTTTTAGCTCAAAACAATTCTTTTGCCAAAGTGTAGTATTTTGGGGTGGTATATTTTGCTACCCTTCATGAGTAAAGGATTATTTATGCCTTCAACTGGTCTTAATCCCTAAAATTAAAAGTACTAATAGCAGAAACTGGTCTGGTTCAGTGGGTAGAGCATTGGTCTGTGGATTGAAAGGTCCCAGGTTCAATTCTGGTCAAGGTCATGTACCTTGGTTGTGGGCACATCTCCAGTAGGGGGGTGTGCAGGAGGCAGCTGGTCGGTATTTTTCTCTCATTGGTGTTTCTAGCTCTCTATCTCTCTCCCTTCCTCTCTGTGAAAAACCAATAAAATATATATATTTTTAAAAAGTAATAATAATTTATAAAGTAGACTTTTCCTGGGGTTTATTCCTCATGTGGCCTTCCACATCCTCCTGTGTTGTGGAGTGGGTTGAGAACATGTCAAAGAGAAATTGCACTGCTCTGAGTTGAATAGGCAAGGGGAACTTCTTTCCAGCTTAGTGGAATAAGAGTCACACAAGTAGCCTTCACGCTAACCATTGGGTTAGCCCAGAGTCTGAGAAATGAACCAGATTCATTGCATGTTTATTTTATTTATTTACTTTGTTTATTGGCCAACTGTGCAAAAACATTGCAGGGCATAATTCAGAAGTCACCTGAGTTTATTTTTACTAATTGGTGTTTGTGAATTTATGGAAAGGCTACAATTCAAATAACTGGCATATTTATATCAACAAAAACCAAACCACTAAAAATAGCTTTCATGTAAGGTAGCTTGTTCCTTATTGTTCAATGGCTGTGATATATAAAGGAGAAAAGGAAGACAAAGAGCAGACATGAATCTGGAACAGACTCTCACCAGGTGTACACACAGCTCCGTGCTGGATGCCTCCCAAGTCCTCCTATTGGGAGAGCCTCAGACCCATCATCTGCTTTGCTCAAGGTCAAGTGGAAAAGCCAGGATTTGAAGCCAGATCTGTCTGACTCCATAGATAAGGCTCGTTCCATTACACCAGCACCTCCCTGACAACCAGGCCTTGGACGTGAGCCAGCTCAAAATTAAGTTATAAGCTGTCAGAAGAAAATGAAAAATCTGAGGACAATGTAGTGTGCTTTTTATCAAACAAAAATGAGTTCAATTTAAAGAAAGCACTGCTCCTTTTTCTAAGAGTATGGCTTGCTTCTGGTGTTAAAAATGTTCTTTTATGAAATAATACTGGTTATGATAGTAATTATTTGTTTTGGTGTCTTGGATGTTTTTTTGTTTGTTTTTTTTGTTTGTTTGTTTTAAACTTGGCCAACCTGTAATAACACCTGATTTTTTTTTTTTATATTTTGGTCACTCCTAGAATTCCAGAGTCTAGGAACCAGGACTACAGAGAGGTAAGTTCTAATGAAACATAGAGGAATAAGTCTTTTTGCATCTTTATTCAATTGCTTACTACCTCCATGTTCAAATCAACCTCTGAAATGTGGAGAGAAGTCACTACAGATTAAATTAGAAAAACTAATACCTCTATTGTGATAAAACTATCAGGGAACCAGGGATCAACATCAAGGAATAGCTGGAGGGAGTGAAGATCAAGCTGATTCTAAGAAGTAGAAGAAAGACAGCTCTGGGAGAGTCTTAATGGCATGAGGTGAAGCCAGGGGATATTGTCCATACTGAGAAGAAATAGGAACAGTATTGGTCCTACAGAGGGACCTTTTAAGACATCATCAGGGTTCATTTTAAGCAAAGTTTTATTTTTTTTATTAAATTGTTTTGTTCGTTGTAAAGTTGATTATCCTATTAGTGTTAAAAGATCTCTGAAACAGAATTATGTTACTATTGGAGGTCATCTGAAGCCAGATTCCTGAAGTCAGGGGTCAGCAAACTGTAGCCAGCTGGCCAAATAGGCCTAGAGCTTTTCCTGTAATATACGTACTTTTATTGGAACATAGCCGAACCCATCTATTTGCATATTCTCTATAGTTGCTTTTCTCTATCAGAGCATAATTAAATCCTGTGGCTGAGAGACCCACAAAGCTGAAAATATCAACTGTCTGGCCATACCCCCCCTTCCCCCCCCAAAAAAGTGCTGTTTCCATGTCTTATTCAGTCAGACCAGTTGCTCAACTCTGAAAAATGTCAGTACCATCATGATAATGGTGTAATCAGGTTTGTCCAAAATTTACCATTAAGGAGATCTGACACTTGAAAGCATTTTCTATTTTGATAGTTCAAGTGGGACCAAAAATTACAGTCTTCTAATGGGAATCTTCCAGGTTCCTTTTTATTAAGCATCCGATCCCCGAAACTGCCTGCAGTTAGAGATGAACTCTAAAAAGCCACATGGGGAGTAATATTGATGGAAAAATTCAACCTCATAAGTCTAGGTTGAATTTAATAACTGGGACAAAACATATTTGAATGTCATTGAAATGAAATCAAAAGCACACTCTAGTTAAAAATAATATTTCTTTACTATTTCTCCTAACCAGAAGCCAAATGGACATCACAGTGGCATCAACAGCAAGTTTCTGAGCCAAATATAACATAAAAGTATTTGGTGTTAATTTTCTTTTCTTTTTATATATATTTTCATTGATTTCAGAGAGAAAGGGAGAGGGAGAGAGGGGCAGAAACATCAATGATGAGAGAGAATCATTGATTGGCTGCCTCCTGCATGCCCCATGTAGGAGATGGAGCCCACAACCCAGGCATATGCCCCTGACTGTAATTGAACCTGGGGCCTTTTGGTCTGCAGGCCAATGCTCTATCTATTGAATCAAATCAGTTAGGGCTGCTGTTAATTGTTATCAATTAAAAAACAAACACAGAGAAGCTACTTCTAGTTCCTTGTGCAAATACATTTTTTAAACTTTACAGTAAACAAGATTTACTTAACTTAAACAATCAGAAAAAAAAACAAATTAAAAATAAAACTGTGATGTTGTTTGTTTCATACTCTCTAACTGCGTTTTCCATTTTTGTGTGTGGATTGTAGAAAGCTGGGTCACATACATTCTAAATTATGTTTAGCTTTCACTGACTTTCTTTAATTCAATAATCAATAAAATTTGCCACTCAGTTAAAATTGTTACATCCCTTGTGGAAAGCATTTTGGAAAAACATTTTATGAGACACAGAAAGTTCACAATCTTTGGCCTCGTTATCCCACTGCTGGGAATTTATCTCAAGTAAATAATTCAGAAGAAGGAAAAATACTTTTTATTAGCTAAAGAATTATTTACAATGGCAAAAAGAAACTTTGTATCTAAATATAAGAGAATAATTAAATGAATTATGATGCAGCAACCAGAAGAATTGCTATACAGCCATTAAAATAATTATGCACTCTATGTAACAACACAGAAAGTATTTATGGCATTATGGTAAGGGAAGAAAGTAGGATGTAAAATTATATCTGCATTATGATCACAATATAAAAAAAGATATCTGCATATGAGTTAGGATGGTAAGAAATACAAAAATGATTTGTTCAATTTGAAATAAAGGGTTACTTAAGCTGGTGAAATGGAAGCTATATTTATAAATGTTTATTTTTGTGGTATTTATAATGGTTAAAAATGGAGAAGAAATCTTGTTTTCCCTTTCTTTTTACTATTTAAAATAATGCAGGAACTGTACCCATGGTCCAATTATAAAGAAGAGAAACAATGTCAACTAGTTTAAGTAGAATAGCATTTATTACAGGATCAAGACAATGATTAAAGAAACAGACTCTAGCCTGAGTTTCCAAGGATGAGTTTTAAAGCTAAACCATAAACTGAGGTCCCAAAAAAGCTGCTTCTCCTGCCACACAACCAGGAAGCAGCTTACAAAACTGCAGAGTTCTGCTTACATCTGTTAGCTCAAAAGACCATTGCCTCTGTATGATTGGCAACAGTGAGATGAGCTTCATACTTCCTTTCTCCTACCATGTAACTCAGGTCTTAATTTAAGTCTTAGAGCCCTGATTAACCTCTCATGATCATTGAATTCCAGAGAAAGCATGAGTTAACTTTTAAGAATTGTGCTAAAAAAAAAATTTCTGGACCAGGGATGGCCTGGACTTTAGCCCTGGATTGGTATACTTGGTTATCGTGGACATGTGATAATTCTAAGTCACA